TGCCCAACATCCGATTTGATCATATTATCCTTCTGTTTTAAAACATGCATAGTTTGTCACTGCCAAAAGAATAAGGTTTAACTATTTTATTACATCCAACATAGACAAAACCCTTTAAAATCTTTCTAACATCATCCCTCATCATATTCATATATAGCCTTCACACCAGTTGCATAAGACTACTTGGTGTGCTATATTATAAAAGTTACCAGTTGAAATTAAGAAGTCTTCTAACATAAATTTTAGTGATTTCATAATATTGCATTATATATATAATATATTCCATAATCTACTAAATCAAAATATCCAAGAACTTATTTTTTCTCATTTTTATTTACTATTTATAATTAAAACTCAGGAAAATATTTTATATATAGGTCAGGGCTTGCATTATGGGTGTATAGTCTATGCAATTGTACTTAAATGGGCCCTGTATTTTGTTTGATACTCTATTACCATCTGAAATTCTTAATAATTTTTGAGAAGTTCCATATATTCATTTTGCACTGCACTTTGCAAATCGCCTGGTTCTTTTATGTCCTTTTCATATTTATATGTTATAATAATGGCAAATGCACACTAGTAAAATTACTTAAAAATACCTATTAATATATATCACTTTGGGGTTGTAAGATATACACTTTTTATAGGATTTAGATGCATAGAACAGATTTCTCTCCCTCAGAGAGTACCAATCAATATTCCTACCGTAAGTATCATCATAGGATTCACCTACTCACTGGATAGTATAATTAAAAACACATCATTGTAGGACTTCTGCTTCAGAGTCACAAGGGGTAGATTTATCTACCTGCTTGGATCAGTTAAAAAAATACATATATGATCTCTGAAACATGAGAAAGAAACAAGATGAGCCCTACTACTGTTCCCGCTGGCTACCTGGAGAGAGTTACCAAGCTGCAGCACCGGAGAAAGAACACAGTTTGACCAGGCTCATGAGACCTCTTGGGAGACCAAGTCAGCTAAATTTCACAGAGCAGAGTAGCAGAGAAGACAAAGCTGCACAGAGAAAGAACTTTAAAGCTCTAAAGCTCTAAAGAATGCCCCATCCCCCTTCAAGTACTCAGCTGAATAATGATCAGCACATGCATTCTAGGAAACTATCCAAGGTCAGGGAAAGAACAACCTGAAAAGAAAGAGGTTTCCGAGCTCATAAATCACAGGAAAGAGTGCTTATTCCTACTGGCCAGAGTGGAAACCTCATCATTGCCAGGGCACTGGGTAGAGTAACAGATGTGTCTTGCCTCAGTGGAGGGGGAATAGTAGTTCTAAATTAAATGCTGCTCTATTCCCAACTAAAAAATCTTAAATTCAACTCTGGAAAGTATTGAATTATTTCTAAATAATTTATTAATAGCAGCCTATCCAAAGAGCTCAAGATTATTTACAGAAATATCCAATATTTAATAAGGTAAAATTTACTGTGCTTAGAATTTAATAAAAAAATTTATCCGGTATTCAAAAAGTAGGAAAATATTAATAGAAACCACAATGAAGAGAAAAATTGATCCATGTAAACCAATCCATAAGTGACACATCTGTTAGAATTAGCAAACAGGATGCTAACATCATTATTATAACTATATTCCATATATTCAAAAACCCAGGGGAACTATTGAACATGTTAAGTAGATACATGAAAGATGTTAAAAAGCCCCAAATTTAATATCTTTAGATGGATGAGAACTACAATGGCTGAGATGAAAAACATACTATCAGATGGGATTAATAGCAGACTAGATATTGCAGAAGAAAAGATTTGCAGACTTGAAGACAGCAATATAAATTATACAAAATATAACAAGGAGAGAGAAGTAATTTTAAAAAAATGACAAAGCATCAGTGAGCTGTGGGATACCTTTAAAAAGAATGATATCAGAATGAAAAGCACTGAAAATTGTGACTATATGAATAATATAGATTTTCTTATTATTTAAATATATTTAAACATATTATTTAAAAATAATAACAAAGTATTGGGTTTATAATATATGTGGTAGATAAATTGAATTGAAATACTTACTAAAA